TGTACAATAATAAAACCAAAATCAATAACAATTAATCTGCATGAATGAATAAAATATGTAGTCAATTATCATAAATATGTAATCGATTATAAAAATATGAGAAGTCGCTTAGATGGCTAAGCTAATGCCTAGAATTAGGTACTTATTGTACCACACTCTATTATTTTTATTTTAGTTCATATTCAAATATGTTGAGTTCATATGTAATAATATATCCTAGCATTTTATGATTCTCATGGAAGAATTTTTATTTTGACGTGAAAATTTTATCGTGTTTCCCGCGGCAATTTCGAAGCATCGGAGAATTGGGAGTACATCTCCCTGCCTCGAATCTTTAAATAAAAATGAAAATATGTAATATATTCAATTGCTTTGTGAATATACTTTCAAACATAACCATACGCAAAAAAAAAATTAAAAAACCTAATATATGAACATATATATATCTATATAAAAACCTGTGATAATAATCTTAATCTCCATCCCCCTCCTCCAACCAAAATGGGAAGTTTGATTACATTTTAATTTTAGAAAAAAAAAATTTTATGATCCGATTTTCCGCAGAAAAGGATAAAATTTAAATTTTTCGTTTTTTGGGTAAGCCAAGTTTTTTCTAAAATGAAACTAACACCTAAAAAAATATTTTATCATGTCATTTATAATTTCTTAATAGCAAACTAGGCAAAATTTACTTAAAATGCAGTTAAAACCATTAAAAGTATACTCTTTCCAGTTCAGGGTAAGCATTAGAAGAGATAAGACGTGCCTCTCAAGTCGCTCACAGATATAAATTTATTAATTTCTTTTTCTTATAACTTTTCATTTATTATTTGTTATTAACTGTAAGGATGTATATTTATATTTTATGAACTATAAGGATATTTTTTTTTATTTCATTTTATCAATTTTTATTTCTTTATTACATGCTTTCTTTTGATTCCTTTTATTTTATATTTCTATGGGGGATCCTATAGATTAAGATAGCCCAAAGGTTAAACAAAAACGACCTCTGGGTCGGCTTAAATTCGAAGCCGAAAATACGGATGGTGCTATCCTAATTAGCCCATCGTTCTTAATAATAGAAAGATCAGATGATCAAAATTTTAAAAAAGTATACCCATTCTTAGTAAATAAGTTTCTTTCAGGTTTAGTAGGATACATAAAAAATGTGAAAAAGCTAAGAAATGATACATTACTTATTGAAACCCAAAAGAGAAAACCATCAGAAGAATTATTAAAATGTAAAAAATTTGGTGGCCAATTTCCGATTCAGGTTTCCTCCCACAATACCTTTAATTACAGTAAAGGAGGGTTTCGATGTTACAACCTTCAATTTCTAGAGGTAGGTAAAATTAAAAATGAATTATATGCAGTGATAATGGATATATCACGCATTAAAATGAAAAAAAAACTGGAAATGAGATATTGACAAATTGTTATATGGTGACCTTTCCTACAACCAGAATTCCGGAAACAACATTCTATACAGTCAAGGTACAAGATTATATCCTTATTCCACTTTGCTGCTTTAACTGTTATCTTTCAGTCGCCCCTCAAACGTCTGTAAACAATAAAGTAAATGTCTTCAATGTGGAAAACCAAAACATGAAGATAACGTGAGATGTACGCGCTCAGTCCGCTGTGCGAATTGTGCCAAAAATCTCAACTCATTAGATCGTTGGTGTCTGATTATTATAATACAAAAAGAAATAAAAACTATATAAACCATAAATAAAGTTTCTTTAAACGAAGAAAAAAAAAATTATGAGGAACAGAACCCAACGCAGTTTTCTAGGTCTTTTGCTGAAATTACAAAACAAAATCCTAACACTATCGAAAAGAAAGACATCGGCATTCAAACAAATTCAATATTTCATTTTAGAGACAACAGCTGATCGATCAGCTGATGCGAAAAGTTGTGCTTCTACCTCGGCTCTCAGAATTTGCTTGTTTTCCAGTGAAATCTTTGAGGTTATTAATTTAAAACAGGTGAAGGGTACATAACAACAATTGATATGTACTGTTTGCAGTTATCATTTTTTTTTTTTGTTTTTTTCTTTTATGCGATATCACCATCAGGCCATGTCTAGTAGAGCGTCTATCAAGAGAATTCGCCCGTTAGTATCAACGCCTTGTTCTTCACCTGCCAAACAAAAGCCTCGCCAATCTCGTTAAATACCTCCAGTAACCGCTGTTAGGTCCGGAGAAAATGAAACCCAGCCAGGTACATCATCAAAAGAAACAATCCAAGAACCGCAACATCAACCAAGTTCATCTTTACAAGAGAAAACCGAAGAATTTTTCACCTCCAACCACTATCAGGTGCTTCAGAATGATAGAGAAGTGATGGAGTCCACTATGATACCAAGAGACCCAGGGCCTCCACCGATATTCATTTAAAACATAAAAAAATTTCAGTTACTATTCTCTCGACTGAACAAAATAATAGGCACTGGAAGTTCTTCACGTCTAAGCAGAACAAAGGACACAAAGATATAACCAGATACAACTGAAACCTATAGAAATACTTTGTTGATATTTATAGTTGGAAAGGTTATATCTATATAGAGAGTGAATAAGTTGATTTCAGAGTAGGTGATTGCAGTATAGAAATATTGAACTGTGAACAAAGGTATAAATTTTGCTACTAGAAACATGACAAAAATTAATAATAAAAAATGTTGAAATAGGAGTTAGTCATTCTGTCAACCGAAAGGCTCTTTTGTGCCTAGAGAGATTTGAAAGTATATCTGACTATTTAACCTATAAATGATTATCGATTGTAGGACTATAAGTTATTAAACTATTATTTAACATTGTAAAGTTTACTAAAATGAAATAACAAGAATTTCAATGCCTGCCATGAATAGGTCAAAAGTTGTCACACTAATTGTAATGGATAATATTGGAATTTCCCAACGGAAAATTCATCAAATTATTCTCTAATTCAATTTTCTAAAATGTTGCTTGATGATTTTTTGGAATAACCGGCCAATAGATAACTGATTATATAAATATAATATCATAACTAGAGTTACTAAACTACAGGAAATGCATTTATGGATATATCCATGAAATATTTTTATATTTCACTTCTTGTTTCACACAAGTACAATGAAGAAGAATTTTTAAACAATGGCATTGGCTTGATTCGGTAGATTTTAAATACATTTTTCTTCAAACTTAGAAAAAAGCTTAAAAGTTTACATTTAGTAAGAAAATTTCATTTAATTTCCTTGGAAACATGTGATTTACGTTAAATAATGTTAGTTTTAAGAAATTATTATTTATATTTTTTTTCGCCACGCTCCGTTACCTTCTATAACTTTATTTATTTGATATGATTTTTATAAAAATTCTCTGTTTTCCAACGATATATTATACGTATATTTTTTACTATTATTTACGAAGATTCATTTTCGACTTCGATAAGCAAGCATTTTTCTTTTTTTCTCCTGTTCAAAATTAACGTATTCTTTCAAAATTCATATTTAGACATTTTCAATAGTTAATGTCAATAAAAAAAAGTTAATTTTGTTAAATAAACGATATTGAAGGTACATTAGGGAAAGACGTATATGAACATTGGGCATTTAAGCCCTGTAAAGTGACATCAATGAAGATAAGACCTAAATGTTATATATATGTATATTTTTAATGAAATTTACAACTGTATTACATAGAAAATACAATAAGTAAATGTGAAATTGGTAACATGACATATACAACATTAAGAGAAATTACCCACTGGTAGAACTCAAATTAAAGTTCTTAAATTAATCTTCTTTTCAGACGCCTCGGAGGGTTATCAGGGATCGAGGAGGAAGCAAGGTTTGAAACGAGAGGATTCGGATGGTTCTGCAGTTTTTTATGGAAGGATAGGTATCTGGATTGGGCCAAATCGGAAACATATGGAACATTAAGGATGATTTTATTTGTGACAAAGTAAGGAGCGTTGAGGATTTTACGAAGGATTTTGGATTGTAAGGATTGGATACGAGAGGAATTCGATGGTTTAGTGGAGCCCCAAAGCTCAATTCCGTAAGTCCAAATAAGTCTTATTATTGTCATATATATGAGTCGTTTATAATTGATTGAAAGCTTAGAACGTTTGTCTAGTAAGTGCTGCAGTAGTCGAAAACGTCGGGCGGTTTCTAGTCGTTTCAGTCTGGTATGGGGGTTCCAAGTGAGTCGTTTGTCAAGGTGGAGTCCTAAGTATCGGATTTGTTCGACAGGGATAAGAGGGCTATTGTTGAAGGATACTGTAGGACAGGAAGTCATAAGTTTACGACGAAGAGTAAAGGTAATTTGATGGGATTTATTGGAATTTATTTTAATCCTCCAGTTTTGATACCATTTTTCAAGGCTTGTGATGTGTGATTGAAGAGTTTGGGATGCAATAGATGGATCGTTAAATGATATTAAAGACTACTTTATGCAATGATACATCAAGTTTAATCAAAATTGTTAGAACCGTTTTTGAGAAAATTGTAAAAATGTTGATATAAAGGGGGACTTCCGGTTATCCGATTTTAAGGAAAAAGTTGCTGACACATCTATAGCATATACATATCTTAAATAATTAATACCAGTTCCGTACGACCGTTTTGAGCTGGACTCTTTATGTGCACACAGGTCGTTTTGCGGGACTCAGGGGACCTCAAAACGTGTATTTCCGTTGAAAACTCAGATACAAACATTTTCAGGATCGCAATACCTTTCCCTTACTATCTATTACATATATAGGTAAGTAAAAGTAAAAAGTATACAATTTAAACGAGCAGTCCAGATGAAGGTCTGAAACTTAGGTAGAATCGTCGGCACAAAATCAAATAAAAATACATATAATTTATTTATTTTTGCTTTGTACTTTCATTGAACGAAAAACCCTAACAACTCCTCCTCACAATTCATGATTGATTATGCTCTTGATAATTATTTTTAGTAGACGTTTGTCCATAGAACAAGTAATAGAAAACAAATCCTCCTTCTCATTGTGAATTACATTTATTTATTTCCATGTTACATTGCCAATTTTTCACTGACCAATATAATATGCTAATTATTCTCACCGGGCAAGTAATTTATAATATATTCACAAGTATGAAATTATTTATTCATTCAAGGTCATGCCTCTTCTTCGAATGGCTCCTTTTAGGGCTAACATCAAGGACCATGCCGATGCATCCGACCAAGACATCCTGTTTGAAGATCGAGTTTATCATCCTGAACTTACCAGAAGCCGCCAAGGGAAAAGTGAATTCAATAAACGATATGTTGTAAGCGTTTATTTCATAAATTCCCTGAAAAAAATAAATAATAATAAAAACGCTGCAAATGATTACACAATGTTTTGCAAAAATGCTAATTTTTAAGTTATTGTAGCCAGCACATCTGCTGATTGTCAATAGTTATAATTGAAAGGTGCAGATAAATATATGTAAGTGCAAAAAAAAAAAAAAAGTTATTGTTAAAATTAATTTACATTAAAACCTAAGTATTAACATTTGTATATCGCAGAACAAGTGCTAATTAAAAACGCTGCAAATTATTACACAATGGTTTGTTATTTCCAAATAGTTATATTTATCCAATGTAACACTACTTTCCTTAGGCAAAAAATGAAAGATCTGAATATATACATATTTTTTTATCATAGTAATTTACTAAGAAATGTAGACAATACTGATTGTTTCAATTGATGTAAGACTTTCCAAAAATCAAAAACCAAAACAAAGGATATCACTTTTCCAGTAGAACATATGGAAAATATTTAGAACAACAGATCTTTGCACCAAATTTTCCTTTTTCAACGATTCTTTTTGTTCTTTAGGAAATCTTGTAGACATTTAAATGAGTACACTGCAAAAGCCTGAAAGAACAAAAACTGAAATTTTTCAGGAGACGAAAGAACATAATTTTTGTTCTATGAGCATTATATTTTCTATTCAATTTTTTTCAGGCTTTAGGCAAAGATGTAATGCTCTATGTAACTATTTTGATCTCGTTTCTTCTAAATAATCTTTTAGAACCATTACTCCCAACATATAGCTTTTTAGTTACTTTGAAAAATAGCTATTAGTTAAATGCCGTGCCAGATTATTATGGCAACGTACTAGACACCCCACCGATCGTCAATCCTATAATTATTTTTGCAAAAAACTAAAGATAGAATTGGCCACCTTCAGATCCCAATCCTTCAACTCCTACCTTACTTCCCTCTCTTCTCATGACAATTCCCTATGGAAGACCACCAAACATATCCTAAAACCTCATCATATATCACATCCTTTCCGTCGAGGTGATGGCTCTTGGGCAGCATCTGACGAAGATAGAGCCGAAGAATTCGCCAAACACCTTTCCCTTACATTCACCTCTCATCCAGAATCCAATCCCACCCACACGTCAGCAGTAGAGGAATTCCTTAATTCACCCATCCCACTCTCCTTACCGCCTAAAGCAGTTAATCCTTCTGAGGTCAAATTCCTCATACAAAAACTACCTACCCGCAAATCACCTGGATACGACCTCCTTACCTCTCAGATCCTTAGACAACTCCCTCTTAAAGCTGTCATATTCCTTACATACATATACAATAGTATCCTACGAACCACCCACTTTCCTCTTTTGTGGAAACATTCCACTATTATCCTGTTTCCGAAACCAGGCAAACCTCCCAACACCCCAACGTCCTACAGACCAATTAGCATTCTTCCGATTCTCTCAAAAATCTTTGAAAAGATCCTCCTGAAACGCATCCAACCCTTTATAGAATCCCAAAATTTTCCTTCCCATCAGTTCGGATTTCGTTCACAACACTCTACAGTCCAACAAGGACTCCGAGTGGTTGATCATATTTCCGCAGCATTGGAAAGCAAGCAATATTGCTCGGGTGCATTTCTGGACATAGCTCAAGCTTTCGACCGGGTATGGCACGCCGGGCTTCTTTCCAAGCTGAAAAACTATCTTCCTCAGTCCTTGTACCTTGTTCTCCGTTCCTACCTCTCAGATCGTACCTTCCGAGTTCGTTGCGGTACTGAATTTTCGCGTTGCTATCCAATTGAGGCCGGTGTTCCTCAAGGTAGCGTATTGGGTCCCGTCCTTTACATCCTCTTTACCGCCGATATCCCTGTCCATCCCGATACCTTCCTGGCAACTTTTGCTGATGACACCGCCATTCTATCATCCGACTCAGATCCTGATATAGCATCCTCAAACCTTCAAAGACACCTCTCCCTGATTGAGCACTGGTGTAATAAATGGCGTATTAAAGTAAACGAATCCAAATGCCAACACATCACCTTCACGCTCCCACGCAGTTCCTGTCCACCAGTTCACTTTAATTCCATCCAGCTTCCTTTCTCAGGCACAGTCCGGTACCTTGGCTTTCTCTTAGACAGACGACTAACGTGGAACCCTCATACTAGACTTAAAAGACAGGAACTAAACCGACGATATGGCCAACTATACCGGCTACTAAACAGGAAATCTAAACTTTCCATTGAAAACAAGTTACTGATCTACAAGACAATATTGAAACCTATCTGGACTTACGGACTTGAACTGTGGGGAACAGCAAAATTTTCTAACATCAAACGCATCCAATCCTTTCAATCCAAAGTCCTTCGAACAATAGTCGATGCTCCTTTCTATGTAACCAACAAAACCCTACACCATGACCTTAATATCCCATTTATCCTAGACCTTATCCCATCAAAATTCTCCAAATTCTACCAGAACCTTACCCATCATCCAAATCCCTTTGCACAATCTCTATCCAGCACCACCCATCCATATAATCCTCCAAGGAGGCTAAAACGGCAGTGGCCCTGCGACCTTTTATAGTTTGTAAATATTGGAGTTCTGGCAATGGCCAGATTCTCCACTCACGACATGAGTGTATGTGGCTTAAGCACTCTTACTCAATCTCCACTGGATTTAGCCCCAGTGACGCGGTTGAGAGAGAAGTGCTGGGATCTCCTGGAGCCATGCTTTTCCCTCCACACTTGGAGAGACAAGTCTGGTTTGGAGTTCCCTCCCCAAATTTTAAATATTGTATATAGGTATGTATGTGTTATTTTTACTTATTTATTTTTAGGTTATTTTATTCTTATTTATTGTATATATGTTATTTTTCTGTATAATTTATTTTATTTACTGTACATAGAGTGTGAATGTGATCTGTTAACACTATTATAAATGTCCTTGAGACAGATTGTAATATTTTTCAAAAAAAAAAAAAAAAAAAAAAAAAAGTTAGGTAAAAACAATCAAATTTATTGTAGGAACGACCATAACTTTGTTTATAATTATCAAATCATGACCGGAACAAGTCATTTTCCAAAATGTAGCGGCACGATACTTACAATAAAACGATAAAATTCACTTTTTTGTCTCCCACTATAGGGACTGCACGAACGGAGTGCATGTTTCACATTTCGGAATAGTCTACGAAAGTTTCGAGAGGTTTCGATTGTTTTGAAGACCATTTGATATATTCCCTCTTAGCTCTCTCTTCTTTTTTCTTCGCCTTGTTCCATGGTAAGTAGTGCAGGAGAATTGGCAGTGCATTATTTGCCAAGAGGTGCTAAGCTGGTAGTACCCGCCATTTATTAGTAATTTAGTTAAAGAATATGAAACTTATGAGAAAAAATAATTTCAGCAAAATGCTTTTAAACATTCTATATTTACATGATCAACACTCACATGAAAGAAAAGTACTTTTCGGTGAAGTATGTTATATACCCAAATTTAAAGGGCTTCGAAGAGAAGAATTAAGTCAAAAATCATTCAAATCGATTCATCCGTTTAATCGCTACAATCTATAGCCACACAGGATTTTTGGCTACCATCTTAAAAGGAAAAAGTGGATAGTAATGCCGAGTTCCGAGGATCATCCTCAAGTACTCTTTGGTATTAATGCCAAATGAAAGAACAAAACAAAATCGGTTCAGTAGACTCAGAGAAAAGCCGCGAATGGCGTGATATTTTTTTAATTTGATTTTAGGATTCTACGTGTTTTGAAACTCAAAATCAAATTTTGAATGGTGTTAACTTTCCTTTTAAGTGAACATTTTTAGGCGTGTTCTGAACTTTTTTTGTGGAGAGTGAATTAGATTGAGCCATCAGATTTCCGATGTGTTTCTGCTAAATATCGAATCTGCATATTGATAGGAAGGGAAGTGCTCATTATTTCATCCTCTTTGTAATGAGCTATTATTCAAAATTTTATCTTAACGCGACACCGCGTTAGAGAGAGGAAAAGGAAACAATAGTGTCGAAAACCAAATTATAAGGAAACGAGTTTTATTGAAGATATGGATTCAAATATCTCAGAAACTAAAGTTCGGACCTGCATACTGTAAGCTAGGGAATTATTCTGAATTCCATCGTCTTTATAATCAGTAATTATTTATAATTTATATTTCATATTATTAATCTCACCTGGTTGATGTTTTCACGTCCATCGTGTAGTCTAAAGCACACACCTTAGTTGTTTTCTTTCTTTCTTCGATTTCAATAGTTGGTTATTAAAATAATATCATTATTTCTAGGTTTTCCAATTAGTCTTAACTGTCTTCATTTTTTTCCTCTTTCTGTTCTTCTGCCAACTCCTTCTTACCTTTCCTCTTTTCTATTCCAAAGACCTTCATCTTATAAATTGTTCCATTAAATTTATTCCTATCTAAGAATTCATCTTTACTATCCCAAGTCTTAAAATTTCTTTTTTTATCTATTCCGAGCATTCTTCGATGTTCCTCTATCGTCATATATCTGTTTGCTAATCCCATCTTTACCCATTCGCTTCATTAAGCTAAAGAATATCAATCATTGTTACCATCTTCATTATATAAGTAAATAAAAAGATCTTATCAGAATCCAAGGCCAACAGAGTGTAAAAAAGTGCCAGAGCATACATTTTAAGATAATTTCGATTTGGTTTATTATTTTCAATAATGGACCATTCTGATCGAATAAAAAATTCAAAAACTTAACCCCCACACAAAATTTGAGGTATTACGTTTCAGGAAACGTACAATGCGAAAAACGAATAAAAGTTTTATGTCCGTCAACGGAGAATGATCTTACTTCATCGACATTTCTATCCGCCTTTTCCTTTCAAAATGTCGACCGAAAAAACTATTTTGGTATAGAGTGTAGCGCATAAACGAATGTACTGGTTTCAATGAAACTTCGTTAAAGTCTTCTTCTCGATGCACTTTAAATTTATCTATATGACATACTTCAACGAAAAGAAGCTGGAAAAAAAATTACGCGGGATGGTAAAATTAGATTCCGAATAACTCCAAAAGTATACACTTCTTTGTCGATATTCGATGGTTATTTAAAAATTTACGGAATTTCATAAAAAACAAAAAGAAGTCGTTAAAATCGGACAATTAGGAGCAATGATATGGTCTCTAGATGGTTTTTATATGTTCTTCTGCAAAGTTTATGTTATTCCTTTGTTTTGGTTTTTGATTTTTGAATGTATTACTGAAGTATTTTTTTTAGCTTCACATTTTATTTCTTTTTCTTTGTATCTAGAAAGATAATGTTATTTTATATATATAATTGTTTGGAAATAATGAACCATAGTGAAATAATTTGCAGCATTTTTTTTTTTTTTTTTGTTTTTTTTTGTAGGTCTCTTCACTTACAATAAAAGGTTTCTTTATTACAATTCAAGATTTGACTTTTAGACAGAATGCTCACCGGAGGAATAGGGCAGTCATCATGGCCAGTGTTCTTGATGAGCTCGTGAAACCATTTTGGATTCAGCTTCTTGCAGCCACTGCAAAAATGAGGTGTATCCTGCGTGAAGTAAGATGGCCTCCATCCGCCATTTCCCCAAGCTTCTACATCAGATACTGCCTGAAATTAGATAGGGTGTCCCCTAAGTAATAAAAAAAGTTTTAAAAAATATGATAGTAAACCGCAAGCACTATAGAATGTTCATGTTTTCCTTATAGAAAATTAGAAAGTTTAAATTGTGAATCAAAAATAATTTTATTCTGCGACTAAACTCCCCTTTATTCGCGAATAAAATCGTAAATTCATTGTTACTTTTGTTTCACTTCCTTTTCGTGTATGTCGTAAACATAAATTATATGACTTCAAGGCGAAAATTTTAGGCAGGTCTCATTAAATTCGCTACAGCCGGTTTGAGCGCTTTTCTCTGGTTTTTCGGCCACCGTTTGGAAACTAAAGGCTGGATCGTAATAAAATGTACATAGAAAGTAAAAAAAAAGAGAAGTACATTTTATTCTGGAACATTTAGTCTCCTAAGGACATGAGAATAATTATAATGAACAAAAAGATGACATTTGTCTAGTATTATAAGAAAATAAAAAAATAATTGGTTAACATAAAATAATTATCCAACATTAAAATAAAAATAAACAAAGCACAAGTAAACATATTAATTTGTACATAAATATATATATGAGTGTATTCACATATTTTCACTGATTAAAAATATTAATGTGTGAATAACAGTCAAATGAAGTTGACAGCTCTTAAAATTTATTCTTAGATGTATTTGGAAAATTGATTGCTTAGGAGGTGGAAGAATAAATGTTGTTCAAATGAGGTTAAGGAAGAGGATTGGCGTATGTAAGTAGTTAAGGAATTTCAAAAAAAGGTAGCACACATGACAAAGGAATTTTTAAAGGAAACTGTTCTATGAGAGAGAAGAAATAGGTTTATTGGCTGGGATCTCGTTTTAAACGAATAAACAGACCAACAAGGAGAAAACAAATCAAGGAGGTAAGATAACTTTTTGGTTTTAAAGGTTCAGAAAACGAATAAACCTAGAAAATATGGCCGCCGGAAAACTGGATAGAGTCTCTTCAACTCAGCATACCAACTGGAGACGTGGGAGTGTCTAAGAACTTTAATGAAACAATTCATTAAACTCTTCAATCTGATCTCAAGCCCACCAGATAGTTCACCATATTTAAAAATATTCCTGAATTTGATTACAATGTTGTATAAAAATATCAAAGAAATCGGTGATGAACTTTCAAATATTAGCGGTTTTGAACAAACTAAAGTTTACTTTTTTATGTTTACACTAAAGCTCATCAAAAGGAACTAAAATTAAAAAAAATGAGAAACATTTATAGAAAAAGGGACCGAACTTTTTTGCTTTGACTATTTATATAATGTTACTGGGTAGTGAAGCTCAATGTAAATACTACCTTCCACTCGCGCTACTGATCCTTCGATATTCCTCAAAACCACCAACGAATTAGACGCTGCCCACGTCCTTTCACGCTTCCACAGCAGTGGGCTGAATATTAAAGGAGACTAGGGAAAGAAATTTTGTTGCAAAATTACCTAAATACCTTTCGTTAGCCGAATGCCCAAGTAACTGACCCTTCATATGTTGCAATTCAATAGAAGAAGTAAGACCACTTACCGATATATTGTCGTCTAAAGTAATGGCCAGGGTGAGGTTGGATAAGTAGCTGAACGTATGCCTACTTACTTTAGTAAGTTTCGTACTGGTAAATCTGACCTCATCAGTTCCACTTTCCCTACATCGAAGAATTTCCTTCAATAAAACGTCATACTGCCTCTAAATGTACACACAAATATATAATTATTAGATATCATAGTGTAATTATTGGCTCAATATACGATTACCTTATAATAATTATTGAAACTTTATGGGTATTGATGCAGTTTGTTGTAAATGCATAATGTGTTATCATGCAAAGCAGTCAGCGCAAATTTTAAATAAATGTTAAATGACTTATGAATGCTGAAGTGAATAAGGTTATGATTGTATTGTAAAAAAAGTTTGTGATTTCTCCTGCTTCGTTGATTTAGTAACGTTCGATTTATTTTTAAAATGTCAAAATAGCATAGTTATTGTCTGATTATTTAATTAAAACGGCTTTAATAGTAGGCAAAATACTTGATGAAAACATAAATCCCGGTTGTTCACTCATTAAGTTATAGTGTAAATTTTCTTCCATGTGTAAAGAAGTGAAGAAGTCTTCTCATAGATGCCAGGAGGAGTCCCAAAAGGGTGATGTCACATTCAGGAAAGACGGTGAAGATTAATAAATATCAGTTTAATTTTATATTAAATGTAATTCAACACCATCCTGTCTTTTTGCCAATACAACACCCTACTTATGTCCAATTGTTTGTGGCATCACAAAGACTTGTATATTACAAAGAATTAAATACGGCATCAAAATATCATTTTGATATTCTGAGTGCATTTACAAAAATATCATTACCCTACAAGATCCCATACTGTGTGAAAATCGAGTGTGACATTTCTTAAATAATTTTCTCCATTTAAACACATTTAATATGTTTACACTACTAACCACTGGTTGCATGAACACCCCTATTATTATTTAAAAATACTGTCAAAAGTTAATAATAATAATGAAAATATTCACCAAAATATTTTTTTTTTATTATTGAATTTATTACCATTCTAATGAAATTAATCCCATTTAGTCAATGATAAATTTAATGTATATATTTTTTTTCAATGCATATAGAAATTTTATTTAATATACATAACAATCTTTCCAACAAAAGTTCGATATTTAAAATTTATATGATACATAGAAGTTCATCGATAATACCCGTTTAAATCAAAGAACGGAAATCAGTTTGAACAGAAATTAAATTCCTACCAATAATATTATTCAATTTATTTTTGGTATCATAAACATGCTTTAGTCAAGTACTTACCACAGCCTGGCCGTGGCAAACGAAAAAAAGAACTGATATTGTAAACGGAAACAGAGATACACTGTGTTCCTTCATGACAAAACCCATGGAACCTAACTGCAACTGCAAACGGAGCCTATCGGATTAGATCAGATCATTCTCTACACATGAACATCCGTTTATTCAGGAAACGGTTACGTATTGTTTCCGAGCTGCTTCGTTATTTAATGATTATAGAATGCCAACATAGTTATGATTCTCAGAATCAAAAATCAAGATTAGACTTTGGAAAATGTGTCAGTGGACACCTGCCAATCATTCTTAAAAACAAACAGTGTTGTGTGCTTTAGCCTACACGATAGAATTGATAAGATGAGATTAATATGAATTATAAATTAGTTTTGGTTCTATATTCAAAGTAGTAACATAGTAACATTAGTTATAGTTGTGTAAAACTTATTTTTTCTTCTATATTCACAAAGTAATAACATTTACAATATATATACAATTATAATTGTGTACAAATTTCTCTAGTAAACTTGATCATAATCTGAAATTGATACAATAGTTTTATGATAAACAAAATATTTGATGAATACTTGAGATGATAGATTTAAATCTATTTGCTAAATACCTAAATAACAGTCCGTCATTTTTCTTGCAACATGACATTTCCTTTTCTTGCAATTTACAGGTGCGATTTTTAGTTTCTGAGATACTTTAATCTATATGAAAAAACACTTCAATTTGTCGAACCCATCCGTTTTGCCCGATCGTTACACATGGGAGTCTGGCAGCTCAATCTAATTCACTCTCTACAAAAAAGTGAAAAACGCGCCTAAAAAAGTTTTCACTTCAAAAATGTGATAAGGTACGCACATCACACAACATTCACTTACCACTCTACTAAAGTATAAACAGTTGTCATATAAAGGGAAGTGGAAGTAAAATTTAATATAACATATTCATTTATCAGGTTATGGCAAAAGTAATTGTGCTTAAATATAGCTTTGTTTCATATTTTTAACATAATTTAATGTAAGATCCATCTGTCCAATGCAAAGTCCATTGTTTTCAACTAATCACACCCATCTTTATGATTTGATGCCAGTACCACTCCTTTGGTTTTGATGCAAAGAACTCTTCACAATCAATTACCAAAGAAGTCTAGTGATTACCACAGAAACAAGGCTTTAAAAAATGAGACATTGATCTGAACAGGCCATAACCTGATGGTGCAATATCTAGGCTGTTCACAAAATGAGTCAAAACGATTACTGCTTACAGCTCCGGTAATTTTTCCTTTAACAAACTAGAGCCAAGTGCAGGTCGTGTTACAATAGCTTGGTTCCTATTGGCCAATGATGAACCATTTTGCACTCAAAACAATATAAACTGAAAACTATGTCTAGCTGTTCACTGTATCCGACGGGTAGAAACAAGCTCAAAACGCCTTTAAAGTACTATCAAACACAAAGCATCACTTTTTTTCCCAATCTTGGTGAACCTTCGGTTGTGCAGCGTCATTTAGCTATTTCACTGCTTATGCTACTCAAACTGGGTTTAAAGCGGAACTTTGTCTTTAATTCCGTGCATTAGAAGCTCCTACTACGGCCGATAAAACTACGTGTTGTTGCATGTGGATCCTGGTTAAAATATTGAAGAACGTCATTATCAACGGCCGATAGGAGACCTGTTTTGGATTCATTTTGGGAACGCCTGAACTAATGTGCGACAGTATTTCGATGGATAACTGACTCTTCGTCTTATAATATTCTGTACATTACAGAATATAACTGTATTCTATATATTACAAATTTCTTCGGTGCCTGCCTTTGAGCATAGCCGTTCTTTCCTATTATAACTCAAAATATCTCTAATCACGATTTATTCTTCTGACATGACACGTATCATATTATTTTAGTACTATATAATATAATATTAATGATTGTAGTGGAAAGTGTACCTTTCGGTAAAATTCATGTTTCAGCTTTGTCCGAAACACCTATCACAAAACTCGTTTAAAAAATGGATTATTATTGTTCTATTATTAGGTATTAGCAGATCCTTAAAATTTCACGTGATTTTTTTGTTGTGCAAAATTATGGGTAAGTGAAACATGATGAATGAAATGAATGAAAATATTTTTATTATTCTGGGACTAGTGTCCCTCTAGAACAAGTTACAAATACAGAATATAAATTAATAGTTTGGTATGTCCATAAAATACAGATTTTTTTTTTTTCCCCAGCAAAATTACACCGCGGCCTCAGTTGGCCTATTGTGCGCTGGCCATATTCCCTTCAAAACCATTCAAGGCCAATGGACTTTGCAAACCTAATTAGACCCATTGGGTCTATTGTTTCGCAACGCTTCGGATCTGGGATTCGGTCAATTCCAAAATGTAGGAACCGAGTCCTAACCAGGATATCACAACCACAGATTATGTGGAAAGCGGTTTCATCTTCCAGCCCGCAGAATCTGCAAGTTGGTGTTTCTATTGTTCCCAGATTATGGAGATGTTTATTCAGTCGACAGTGTCCTGTATAGAGTCCTGTAACTGTTCTAAGATTCTTATTGTCCATATTCAGGAGTGATTCACTTCTCTTCGGACAGGGCCCAAATACAGTTTAATATTTATAGTTTGATTAGGAATACAATAAAGTTATATGTGATAAAAAGATATAAATACGTGTAAATATAAAATATACGGAGAAAGCAATTAAGTAAACGAAATATCGATGAATCACAAAATAATCAGAGTATCTGGGCATACTTTGAGGTTTTTACAGCTTAGGTTTTTAAGTGCATTTCCTGATCAATCTGATTGGAAATGGAGTAGGTGTTTTAAGAGGAGAGATTTGAAAGAGGATATGGATTTTGCGTGTGGAATATCTGAAGGTACAGAGTTCCAGAGGGAGACAACTTGTATTAAAAAGGATTTATCAAACGCAGCAGTTCGGTGAGGAGGAGGATAGAGGACGGACACACGGGATCTGGTGGGATGGGATTGAAAGAGGCGTTTGAATTGTAGGATCTGTAAAATATAGGTAGGTCGCCGTGTTCTAATGGCTTGGTATAGGAAGGTAGCAAGGAAACATTGACGGCGGTAGGACGGATAAAGCCACTTCAACTTGGTGTAGAACTGGGTAATATGCGTATCCCTGAGACCTCGAAGATAAAGCGGATTGAGCAATTCATTAAACGTTTAAGCTTAGCTTCTAGTTCTCCCGAGAGTCCACCGTACACCATGCAGCCATAGTCGAAGTGGAGGAAAACAAGAGAGGAGACCAGCAGTTGACGGGTTTTGAATGGAAGAAGATAACGTAGATGGTTAAACTGTTTCAGGGTGGATATAGTACGGCGGGAAATTTGGGAATGTGTGGTTTCCAGGAATGGCTTTGATCGAGGGTAACGCCTACGTTTTTAACGGTGGTATGGAAGGAAATAGGTGAATTGTTCAGAACAAGATTAGGAGGCGCTGAAATGGATTTAGGATGATTAGGATTAGGAGTGAGGGGTAACCGATCAAGATGGCTTTTGTCTTCTCTGTATTTAATGTCAGTTTAAGATTTGCCCATGCGCATATTCTATTGATGTCTTGTTGTAGTTTCAGTATGGCATTAGAGGAATCTGTCGGGTTGAAGGAAAGATAAATTTGGACGTCATCGACGTATAGGTGATATTGACAGTGTATGATAGAGGAAGGGAGGTCATTGATGTAGATGGAAAAGAGGGTGGGGGATAATGAGGAACCTTGTGGGACGCCTCTGGACTGAGGTAGAGACATTGATTGAGGGTTATTCGGAACTACAACGTACTGGGAGCGATCGGTGAGAAAGGAATGGAACCAATTAAGGGCGCTTGTTGATAAGGATATATTTTTAAGTTTGGTTAGGAGGATATTATGGTCAACTGAGTCGAATGCTTTAGAGAAATCAAGAAGGATCAGGATGGTGAGTTTCTGCTGATCTATGGCTGTGTGGAGATCTTGGGAGATTTTAATGATGGCGGAATGAGTGGAGTAGTCAGGTCTAAAACCAGACTGGAAGCAGTTCAAATGTTTATTTTGTTCAAGATATTGGGATAGTTATAATGATGGTTATAATAACAATATGAAAGCCCTGCAAAGAGGGGTTTCCGGTATTTGGAAATGAAGAGGGATCGACTAAGATCAGACATTAGTGTTGCCCAAATGCGAGACCGAGACGAGTCTTGGTCTTGCAAACTCAGTCATTGTATAGGTCTTGGTCTTGTGCAAGAGGCATTTACCTATTAGCTTATTACGATAGAGATTTTTTAGATAGGAGAAACCTAACTAAGCCCGAATGAAAAATTAAAAGAGTTTAATGCAAAATTATATTGGTTATTCCAATTCTTTACTTATAGTAACTGAAAGTGTCAAGTATTAGTAACTATTTTGCCTTAATTTTTATTCAAAAAATCATTTTTTTTTTACCACGCTTGGTCTTGCAAAGTGCAATATAAGACATATATATCTTAAATACGTAATTTCAGTTCCGTATTTTGTATAAACTTGTTGAAATTTCGTATTTCCTTTGAAAGGTCTGGTTCGACATCTTTCATGATCGTAATACTTCCCCTTAAATCGTAATGACTAAGATTGTTGTGCGAAAATGGTTCTAAGTTTCCTCGTTATGGCTAGGAGTGGGAGAGAAAATGCCAAACGTTTGAAAAGAACAATTCTTGATCTCAATCGGATGTTCTTCCAACTGGAGTTGGAACTGTTCTTCCAAACGGATAACAGTTGTTTTTTCGTTTTTTTAGCTCACCTGTTTGCCACTAGTCGAGTTTTTGTTTAATCTGTTTTTCGTTTTGTCTTTTCCAAACGAAACATAAGCTCTTTCTGTTTTCGAACTAACCTATCAGTTCATCATGAAAAAAACCCAATAGTTTTTTGTATAAGACAAGTTTCAACTGTTATGTTTAGGGATGTAATTTTTAGCTCCCCTTATTAATGAAGACTAGGAATAAATACAAACTTTCATTATAGTTACTACGTTACTAAATAAACTTAAGCATATTTGTTGGCAAAATTAGTTTATATTTTTAGATGTATCTATCTACAATAGTGTCTTGCA